GCAGACCCGCGCCAGTGCGCTTGGTCTCCACGAGCACCATCACCGCCGTCGATGTGAGAGGCTCAGTTGGAGCTTTTCCTTTCGGTCGTCCGTCAGCTAGGCAAACTACGTGGAGACATTCTGGGGATTGGGGAGCCATTGTAATTTGGACGACCAGGAATAGGCGCCAACCGTCAACATGACGAAGACAAGCCAGTAGCGGCAGGATGGGGTGCTCCAAGTCTACTGTATAAGAGCCTCGGATGTGAGTGTGCAAGGTATGCCTCTTTCGACCTATCCATCTTCCCCATCACCCACAGACTTCTCGGCAAGATGAGGACTTCTCTGTTGTTGCTCACGCTTCCGGCCCTTGGCCTGGCCTACCCAGGTATGATGGGCGCGGGTTCTCGGGAGGAGATGCTGGATATTCTGGTGGAGAAGCGTAACGCCGAAGCTGCGTCGAAGCTCGAGGAGCGCCAGGTCCTCTCCAGCCTCATCGGCACTGTTGCGAACCTGGTTGGCGATGTGAAGGGCCTCCTTGGCTCGGTGGCCTCGGCAGTCAACCCCAGCAACAAGCGTCCCGAGTCGGGCTACGTCTTCCAGGAGCCCAAGTCCACCGACTCTCGCGGGCCCTGCCCAGGACTGAACCTCCTCGCCAACTACGGCTATCTTCCTCGTGATGGGCACGTCAACTTCGAGCAGGTTGTTGAGGCCACCGCGTAGGTCTTGCTCCACTCTCATCCATCGAATGCATACTGACAGACCTCGTAGACGTGGCTTTAACATGGGGACCGACTTGTCGACTGTCCTCCTGGTCTTCGCCATCTTGACGGATGGTGATATCCCAACCCAATCCTTCTACCTGGGCACCGGCCCGAACGGCGTCGGAGGCCTGAACCGCCACAGCACCGTCGAGGCCGACATCTCGCCCAACCGCGAAGATTTCTACCTCGGCTGCGGCGACAACCACCACCTCTCCTCCCGCATGTTTGCGCAGAACGTCGCGTACGCCGTCAAGGACTCGTCGAAGCAGTTCTCTCTGGCCGTCATGTCCAAGCAATGGGCCGCCAATGCCGCCTTCAGCGTTAAGAACAACCCGTACCTTTACTACTTCCCTTTCCCGTCCATCGTCGCCACGGCCGCGTACAACTTCTACCCGCAGTTCTTCAGCAACGGCACGTACGGCGCGGGCGGCGTCGCCAACTACGAGTCCATCTCTTCCATAATTGGAGCCAAGTTCAATGAGAAGACGGGCCAGTTCTCGTACGTGCCGGAGCGCTGGCCTGCCAAGGGCTGGTACCGACGCGCCACGCCCTACGGCGCCGCGCAGGCTCTGACCGAGGCCTTCACGCTCATCTACCCCAGCTATCCCGTGTCGATGGTGTTCCCTCAGCTGCAGGGCGTAAGTCGCATTATCCACATCTGATCTTAGTAATGTCGCTGACCTCCATCAGGGCAACTTCAACGCAGCCACGGCCCTCTGCTACATCTACCAAGGCATCAACTCGCTCACCCCCTTCGCCCTCGCAGGCGAGGAGCAAGCCGCCGCCGCAGGCCTCACCTGGGCCATCAGCAAGCTCGCCTCCGTCGGCCTCGACGCGACAACGCTCGGCTGCCCGGCCAGCACCCTCAGCCCGAACTCGTACCTCTACCCCAACGCCACCAACAAGGGTGGGCCGCTCAACACACCGGCGAATGTGAAGGCGAACACCGGGAACGATGTGTTCTACAAGACGTACTTCTGCAGTGCGCCGACGACGCCGCAGTGCTCGCACATCTGCTAGGAGGGATATGGCTGGCATCGGGCGGCGTTAGCATGACGGTGGGAAACATACACGGCTGCATGTATGTACATACACATGTCAATGACACTGGCTCGACTCGCAAGAGCATCATCTCGCTTTTGTTCGTTCAAAGCCAGTCTCCTCTCAGTTGAACCGCGCGATCAGGTGCATGCTGTTCTGCGACCTCAATCAGTACCCGGAATGGACTGTTTTCAATCAGAGACAGCTTGAGCTCTTCGCAATTGGCGAGTCGGGGTGCATGCAGAAATCAAGGACAATATAACTCGCGGCCGAGACTATACCCTTTACTGCGTATGGCTCCGAGCATGGACCAGTTGACGGTCGCTGCTCCACCAGCTCGCATTGACCGTCGAGGCACAACATCACATGGATCAATGCCGATCAAGGCTGTTCAGTGTGCTGCCATGCGGCCATGGTCGCCCTTCGAGTTCGAGACTGCGAGTCTGCTGAACAACAATGGCCGGAGAATACTTGGCCACCCGGCATTTCCAGTGATCGTCGTTACCGCCGACTGACACAGCGGATATGCTCGGGTCTCTGGGATCTCGTCGAGCTCATTTGCACATGCATGGAAGGCTTCTTGGTTCACATGTCGATAGTGACGAGCGTCATGAATGTGCGCGCGACACAGGGCTGTCCATCATGTGCGTGCGACCGAGCACGCTCTCTCAACCATGTTCGCACGCGACCGGCCTGTCAACCTGTGACTCTGCGCTTGCCACTCCAGGAAGGGACATGGATGGCGGCAGCGGTGGTACAGGGCGTTTGGCGGAGTCAATGGGTTGTGTAACGACATACGTCCAGCCTTCGTCGTCGAGACTTGCTGGAGCGCTCGACGGCAGCGACTCAATTGACCGCAAGCGTGCTCCGGGTCCGGTAGATGATGTTGGGAAGGATCAGGATTGGAGAGGAGGTGCACATGTGAGATATATATCTCGTGCAGAAGGTGTAACCGCCGGGGCAGACCCTTTAATTTTAGCTTGTGGAGGTCGCTCGGGCGCAGTCCCGTCGTGTGCTGCAGCTGAACCTCGACCACCAATCGACCCTCTTCCCTTCACTGACCCCATAACACTCGTTGCCGCTGCCGAAGCGTAGTCCTTTCTCAGTCTCTGACGACGCGCGAAGTGCTGATACTCGACATTACCCAGCTCGCGACGCAGACCCAGATTTCCCGTAGCAACGACGCCCGGCGCTTCGTTGAGACGGTCCCGGACAGGCTCCACGCAACACCACCACCACCACCATCACCGCTCCCGCGCCGCCATCAATCGCCTCACGTGCACCCAGCAAGCAGATCGCGAGCCGAGCAGAGCGTCATACCGACCCGTGTGCTGGCCACCTGCACTCACACGCGCACCATCCCGCTCCTACCCGACGCTCGTTTGCGCACCTTATACCTTAATCACCGACATCGCGATAGATCCAATCGGGATCCATGCCAAGCTTCGGCAGCAATCGCTCGCCGTCACTGAAGAAGATGGAATACGGCAATAATGGCCGCTACGGCGGCGGCAGCAAGTTCAGCATGGGACACATCGTGGGCGACCCTTTCTCGCTGGCGACCATAGGCATCGCGATAGTATGTTCACACCTTCATCGGAGCACCAACGTATATGGCTGACAGGGGCGCTAGGCTGGCTGGCTCATAGCGTTCGTGAGCTCCATCATCGCAGACATTAGCGAAGAGTACCCCAATTACTCATGGTGGGCACTGGCATACATGTTCTGTGTCATCGTCGGCATCATCGTAGCCACTGGATTTGACGCCATCTACACCTATCACGTGGCGATCGTGGGCTTTCTGGCGGCCGGCATGGTGTTCACCACCTCCTCCGTCAATTCGCTCATATACTGGTCCGATGGCTCGAAGGAGGCAGCCGCGGCCGGCTTCATCTTGCTGTCGATGGTTTCGGTACGGATTGAACACAATCTCGCATTGGCAGTTATGCTTGCTGACATGTGTGACAGATTGTTTGGATCTTCTACTATGGCTCACAGCCATCGGCGAGTCACCGCCAAACACTGGACTCCTTCGCACTCCATAAGGACCGTGCGCCCAGCCGCAACAGCCGGCATATGACCCAGACCCAGTCCTACATCCGCCCGGAGACGACTCACTCCTCCAACCAGCCGCCTCAGATGTACAACGCCAACCAATTAGCCGGCTTCGAGACCTCGTCGCCCGTCACCGGCTACCCCGGCGGTGCAGCCGGTGTCAACAAGCGCGAGAGCACCCCCGCCTTCCCGCAACCCGCCCAGTCGCAGCCCGCGCCGCCAACGCAGCACAGCCTGGCGCCCACACAGCCCACGACCGCGCAGTCCGCAATGGCCCCGTCACAGCAAGACAGCGCCATGAGCGCGCCGACGGAGTACCCGTACCGCGCGAAAGCCATCTACAGCTACGAGGCGAACCCGGACGACGCGAACGAGATCAGCTTCAGCAAGCACGAGATCCTCGAGGTCAGCGACGTCTCCGGGCGGTGGTGGCAGGCGAAGAAGGAGAATGGGGAGACGGGCATCGCGCCGTCGAACTACCTCATCCTGCTATGAGGGAAGTTACCCGAGGCGCGGCTGTTGTAGGTTGTTTAGCTGGGTTTTGCCTACCGCGATATGCTACTCATGACTCTGGGTGCGGAGACCCCTTTCATGGACATATGGCGCGGCCGATTGGTCGTGGGGGTAGGGTTTGGGTTCCGGAAATCTGCGAGTGTTGGTTTTGGCGACGGCGTTCTGTGGGTGGCTGTGGCCGGGAAGGGGGCTGCGACGATACCAGATGTCTTTGGGTCTTTGTTCTTTTTGTACGTTGAGCGGACAAAAACCTGTTTAGTGTAATGGGTTCCCGCATCGCGATGATATGCAAGAGCCCCGGGGTCACAGGCTAGAGTGCTTCATGGTCACCACGCTTGGCGCATACACGCTTGATACATCCATGAACCTCCGCCTGGTACCTGTGCCAAGACATGCTCCCACAACACTGTTGAAGCTCGCCACGTTCCCCTATGTTCCTCCGCTCCGCCTGCGTAAGTCTAGAGGACACCACAATCTGACGCCACATGCGGTCCTAAGGTATAATCCAAAAGGTCGACTGGCGGGCCAGCTTCACTTTTGCATTTGGAGCCGCGTTCCTGCCGTATTTGGACGACTGAGCGAGCACCTTGCCAGTTGATCAATCACGCGCCAAAATGGCAAAACGAATCAGCTGGTTAGCCTTCTCGTTGCGTCCTCCGGGAATTGAACCCGAACCTGCTGCTTGGAAGGCAGCAATCCTAACCATTAGACCAAGAACGCGTTTTTTCTGTGCAGCAGGTCTACCCACTAAGGCATTCGACTATTGTCAATATAATGCTTGAAACCTTGCCCGATGCGCCTGAGAGTTGAACAAGGGCTTCCCATATTCACCTATGCACTCGTGTACTGCACAATTCAAGTTGGGACGCATAGCTGTTTATGTGTTATTGTGAGCACGCTGATGAATGGCCAGTGGGTGATTTAAGGTGGCCTATCTTGCAACCCTACATACACGCTGATGCTCAAGTATCAACGATCTAGTGCGCCAGAATCTCCATGTTGTGGGTGCCAGCCCGCGGTGCGCCGTTGTTAGGCTGGATGTTATCCTTCACACCCGACGGCGGCGTCATGCCGTTGGCATACTTCTTGCTCTCGTCCTTGGCAAAGCCGTTGTGCGTGCCGTTGAACGACAAGTTGGCAATGCCATCATAGCCCTTGACACCGGTCGCCTTCTCGAGACGGGTGGCGAGATCCTGGGACACCTCACGGAAGATCGCAATCTGGCGCTTGATGATCTCCTCCTTGGTGCACGTCGCCATGTGGCCGGAAACGTTGTTGATGAAGCGCTCCTTGGCACCATCATCGAACACCTTCTCCCACAGGATGCGCGGCGCGTTGAAGTCCTCCTCGCGGATCTCGGACAGGAACGTGACAGCGCCCTGGGTGAAGTGCGAGTGGATCTTGTCGAGGTCGGTGCTGCGCTGGCGGAACTGGATCGGCTGGATGGAGCTGAGGAACGGCGGGCGGGAGCCTTGGTTGTAGAACGCCATCTGGCCGTCGCGCTGGAAGTTCGCCATTTTGTACGGCACGCGAGGTGCGTTGACGGGCAGCTGCTGGTAGTTGACACCGATGCGGTGGCGGTGGGTGTCGGGGTAAGAGAAGAGGCGGGACTGCAGCACCGGGTCGGCGGAGGGCTCGATGCCCGGCACCAAGTGAGCCGGGTTGAAGGCGATCTGCTCGATCTCGGCGAAGTAGTTCTTGACGTTCTCGTTGAGGAAGAACTCGCCGACCTTGCGGAGCGGGAAGCGCTTTTGCGGCCAGATATGGGTGAGGTCGAAGACGTTGATCTTGTCTTGCTCCCACAGGTCCTCAGCCTCCTTGGGCGTCATTGTCTGCCAGCACACATCCCAGCCGGGGAAGTCACCCTTCTCAATCGCGTTGTAGAGATCCTTTTGAGAGTAGTCGGGAGAGTAGTTTGCAGAGTCGGCCTGGGTGATGAAGTCCGTTCCTTGCTTGCTCTTCATGTGCATCTGTGCGTACACCCAGTCGCCGTTCTTGTTGACGAGCTTCAAGGTGTGGCCGGCATAGCCGTGCATTTTGCGCCACCCATCTAGAAACCGGTCAGTGGATGGTCTGGTAGAGAATACTGATGTTGTAGCAACATACCTGGGATACCACGGTCGCCCATCAGGATCATGACCTGGTGAACAGACTCCGGGTTCTGCGAGAGATAGTCCCAGAACCATGTCGAGTCGTCGGCGTGCGTCAAGTGTGTCGACGGGTCACGCTTCTGTGTGTGGATGAAGTGCGGGAACTTCGCCGGGTCGCGCAGGAAGAACACGGGCGTGTTGTTCGCGACCATGTCCCAGTTGCCCTCCTCGGTGCGGAACTTGACGGAGAAGCCGCGCGGGTCACGAGCGCAGTCATGGGACCCGGACTCGCCACCCACCGTCGAAAAGCGGACCGTGATCGGGCACTTCTTGCCAGCCTGGAAGAGATCCGCCTGGGAGAGATCGTCCATGGGGTCGGTGGTCTGGTAGTATCCATGAGCCCCACCACCCTTGGCGTGGACGACACGCTCGGGAATTCGCTCGCGATCGAAGTGAGAGATCAGGTCGACGAGGTGGAAGTCTTGCAAGAGCAGAGGCCCGTTCTCGCCGACACGCTGTGCCTCGTACGGGTGAGGGTATGGAGCACCATTGCTGGTCGTGTACACGGTGTCCTCTGACGAGGCAGCGCGATCCTCGTTGTAGTCGCGAGTGTATGAGCCGGTATGCTGGCTGTCCGCCGCGTTAGATGTTGCTGAGGGTGCCATGTTGGAGAGGACTTGGAGGGTTTGTCGGATCATGTGGGTGATACGAGGAATGAACAGTTACGGGAATGGAGACGCCTGGGTTTATGTATGGCTGGGTATAGGAAATACGAAACTCCCTTGACCGCTGCCGTGAGGGTGGCGACTGAGGTGAGGTCATTTAGATAAATCAGCTTGCCTCTGATTGGCCGACATGATCGCGACATCGACACGCTCTGCCGAGAACGGCTGTCCACCACGATTTGCGCCAACAATGTGCTGAACAGCCTCACGTCTGCTTCATTTCGTCTATCACGACAATTCTACTGCCTTCATCGAGTCGGCAACGAAGCAATCGATGCCCTACTCGTTGTACAGTGGGAATCATCTCGACGAATCGCCACCATGTGACGTTGCCAAAATGCCGAAGAGACGAGGCCCGAACAGGAAAGGTCGGCCCGAGCTTCTTCACTCGTCCTGGACAACATGCATCACGCTATGGACATATTACTGCATGTTGCAGCTAGGTGGGTTTCTTTCATACGTTGCCCGAGAGACGACGTTGAGATTCGATAGGCTCGGCTGCAGGCGGCTGGAGCCTCGAGGTGGTGCAGTTCGTACGCCCTTCGAAGTCTGTAGCTAGAATGCATAGCAAGAACCGACATGCCGCATTGCAGCGACATTCTAATTCATCGTGCAAGGCATCGGCGAGTGGCATCCAAGGGAGATTCCCGGGTTTGTTGGAAACCCACAGCGAGACAAGCACAAGATTGTACGTCTTGATGTATGGACATTGCCTGGGACTAGAATTTACCGGATCAGTTTTCCATGCAGCGCAGCCTACCCTTGGCTCTCACAAGGCGCATGCCTTATAAGGGAAGCTTTGTAAAGGGCTTCGCTGGGATTTGGTCACTTGTACCTTCTGCTACGCTCTTCGTTCGTTATTGTTGAGTGAAGCAATGCACGCCTCGGGTGACTGACGTGCAGCGACGCAGCCCACCACATACAGAGAGCATTCTGCAGGCAGGCTGCTCGTCCAAGGATCCCGTGTTTGTGCTCCCGCCGCGACCGCACTATGGTTGCAGCAGATCTCGACTAGCATGGAACCATACCACCATCAACCGGAATGATCTTGCTGGTAACGTATGGCGTGTTCACCAACCCTAAGAGTGTCAGGCACGAGGGTCAGCGGATGTCTCGGATGGCACTGTCGGCTGCCCTCGTTTGCTCACGTACACATTACCGTATCGGCGATCTCCTCTGGCTTTCCAGTCCTTCCGACTGGCACTCCTACCACGCGTTAGCTTGGCTTCGCTTTCTGCATCAGCAAAACCTCAACGTTACTCGCTTTCAGCCATGGCTTTCGCCTTCTCGCCATCCGCCGCACCCATCATAGCCGTACCGGTGATCAGCGCAGGCGCGACCGCATTCACTGTCACGCCTTTCCGCGCCACTTTCGCGGCAAGCCAATGCACGAACCCATGCATCGCGCTCTTCGAGCTTGCATAATGCGGACCCACGGAACCTCCCGTCAAGGCCGCGACACTGCTATCGAAGATGATGCGGCCCCAACCCTGGGCCTCCATCTCCGGCAGACACAGCTGCGTGAGTAGGATCGCAGATCCCGTGTTCACACGCCATGTCGACTCGAAGACGTCGATCGGGACGTCCGCAAGCGACTTGACGCCCTGGTAGCCAAGGGTGGAACCGGCATTGTTGAACAGGACGTCGACCTTGTTGAAGGCATCGGTGACATCCTCGTGCAGTCTGCGGACCGAATCGTAGTTGCCCATATCCGCCTGGAAGAAGTCGACACGGATGTCGACCGGCGTAGAGCCGCTCTCGTCCGGCACGGGCTTGGGAGAGATGCCAGAGATCTGTGTGAGGAGAGCATCGCGAGTTTCTTGCGAGGCACTGTGGTAGTGGAGTGCCAAATGGTATCTGCCTGTTCTTGCGAATGCGAGAGCAGTAGCGGCGCCGATGCCGCCCGTCGCGCCTGTGATGAGAGCGACTCGCCGTTCAGAAGACATAGTGCCGTGTGTGTGAAGCACCAAGTGTCCGAACTGTGCCTTGCGGACAAGATCAATTGAGGCTGGAGACCTACGCAAGCAAGAGCCTGACGTCATGGCGCTTTCAAGCTTCGTGTATGTTTCCAGGTTGTGTATGCTATGGTTGAGGTGTCCTATGTACAGTATGTAGGTCATTAGCAAGACACGGAACCAGACCACACACCATTGCACCTGCCCAAAGTGCCAGATCAGCCATGCCTCTCATAGTACCCTTTCCGTATGCTGCAATAGTCCAACGCCATTGCACGCTTTTGGGTATATCGTTCATCTGTACGCATCATCCGTGATCACGTCGCGTATCTTTCGTTGATTCACAAGCATGGCTATGCTGTTCGCTCGGCCCCATCTAGCGAGCGTGAAGGACGGTCCAGCTCACGCAGCAGCATTGTACCGCGTATCGGCACCACTGGCCTTTGCAGTGCCATTCGTCGCCGCACTCGCATCATGGGGCTGCAGCGCAATCCCGTCCGCCCTCGCCTGCGACGTCAGCACCTTCAGCTCCTGCAGCATCCGGCTCCTCACCGTCTCCAACAACTCGTCCACGTCCTCTTTCGTCTTGCCCTTTGTTTGCACCGGCTCCAAGATCGTGATGGGTATGGTGCCTTGCCTGAAGACTTTCCGCTTGACATTGAGCACGTTGCTGTAGTTCGCGACCACCACAGGTATAATCGGGACCTGCGCCTGGACTGCCAAGTGGAAAGCGCCTTTCTTATATGGCAGTAGGTCCGGGTGGTCGTAGTAGGACCGCGTGCCCTCGGGGAAGATGTACACGCTTTGCTTGATGCTGTGCATGTGCTCGGCCGCTTTGGCGAAAGCTGCGACGGCTTGTTCGCGGGAGGTGCGTTCGATGAAGACGGTCTTGCTTAATGCCACTGCGAGCGTAACCATGAGCATCTTACCATCCTATTCCGACGAGCTTC